CAGGTTCAGATTCACCTGGATGACCGCATGGATAATGGCTGCCTTCTTCCTGGCCCAGGCCTTTTTATCACCTCTCTGACCTCAGCAGCCCGGTCCAAACGAAGCTGCCGGTGCTGGCCACAAGCCGACTGATCTACAAAGCATCCCTGGCTACCTGGGCCCGCGCGCAGGGCCGGGTCTTTCCCCCCTGCCCAGGTGACCAGAGCATCGCCTCCCAGGCGCCAGGCTTTTGTCATGCAGACAAGGTGGGAGATCCCTGCCCTGAGGGATTCAACAGCAGCCTCCCAGGCTGGCTGAGACAGGTCTCTGGAGAGGGGCACCGACGGGGGCATTTCTGCCACACTGGGGGCTTGACTTTTGTTGCTCTGGTGTTATTGTTATGAGAGAAACTTGGATGAATCCTGGCGCTGACACGTGCACTGCCCTGCAAACACTGCCCAGGCTGCTGTCAGCCACGATAACCCAGGTCATCTCCTCCACAGGATGGACAAGGCGAGGGGCAGCTGCTGTGCACTCGGGGGAGAGCTGGGGATCAGTCACAGGTGTCCACCGGTGCCCCACATCCAGTTTTGCTAGGCAGAGCCTCATTCAGCATCCGTGGTCCTGTGGCCAAGGCGTGCACGGCTCCTACAAGCCAGCCCTGTCTGGGAGGCGAGGTGTCCTCTCCCCCACCCCTTGCATCTGCTCTTGTAGAGCAAGTTGCAGCCGGCAGGTATCAGGAATCCAGTCACGTTGCCCATCTCGGTGCAGCTTCGGGACGTGTCTAGCAGAGATAAGGTCAGGCAAGATAAGCAGATAGACGCGCAGGCGGGGAGCCGACCTGACAGAGGGCTCGCAATTTAAAGGGCTGGCACAGATAGGCCTTAGGCCCATGCGAGACCTACAACAAGGTCATCTTGCAGGTCTTTAATCGCAGTGATTTACAGTCAGTTGTAAACACTCGGGAGACGCAAGCACGAGCTGAAACGGTGCTTGGAGCATTTGGGCAGTAAAATTCAGTAGTAAAAGTACTTACAGCTGCTTCGGCTAAATGCAATAAAGCTGTAGCAACCAGGTGCCTGGGATGCTAGCGTTAGCGAAGCCTCGTAAACCTGGAGATCCTGCTCAGACAGAATTGCAATAAGGGAGAGGAGCAGGGAAGCCAGGGGAGCGGAGCAGCAGCACCCCAGCGCCGCCGGGAGAGCACAGCAGAGCTGGGCCCTGGGCACGGCAGCCTGGCCGAGGGGACCCCGGCGCCCCAGGGAAGTGTGGCGAGGAGTTTGTAAGTCATAGCTGCCTTCTCCCTTCCTGCGTGGATGGTCTCGCTGCTGCTAACTAGGTTGCCTCTTCTGCTGCACTTTTTAGCCGCTCCTGCTTAAACCTCTTCACTCCTCACCCACAGCTCTCCTCCCCCCTCCAGCCAGACTGCTTGCATTTATACAGAGTCGTCTCGGCTGCTTTGCTTGGCCTGTGCTTGAGAAGGGCACCAGATGCCCATCCAGCAGCTCTCCCAGCTGTACAGCTGGCCCAGTAAAGGAGATTGCAAACATCCCTTGCCTCTTGGACGTTTCCTGTATTATCACGGCTACACCAGCACTTCCCAATTACACACGCTAGTGCATCACCCAATTACGCTCGCTAGAGCACCCCTGCTCCTGAGGGAGGCCAGAACCGCACGAGCCCCTTGTCACACGAAGCACCAGGAACGTGCCACAGGCCAAAGCGAGGGAGAGCCAGGGCACCCGCGCTCGTTCACCTGCAGCCTCTTCTGCCTCCCCATCTTGCTCAAGCATGGAAAAGGCGTCCGGGAAGCCTGCCGCGTCTTCGTCTCCTCTGGCTCCTGCCCACAGACCCAGGCTCCCAGAGCTGGGGACAGCACCAGGCATGGAGCCATCCGCGGCAGCATGGGACACGGCCAGAGAGGACCTCCTGCCGCCCCCTCAATCCCGGTTGTTCTTGCAGTGACATCCTTCCTCTGCCGCTCCTGGACCAAGCCCGGATGAGGCAGGAGAGGTCTGGCGGCTCCGTGCATGCCACTCTTCCGGACGCAGGGCCTCGGGGAACGCTGCCCGTCCCTGGGGGCTCCCGGGGCCCTTCCCCAACAGCATCCTGCAGAGCTTGTGCCACTACCATGCAGGGTCCCGAGGGCCAGCTGGCCCTGCCCCACCCCGCAGACTAGCGCGCTACAGGAACTCCACGCGGTTATGACCGGCCGGCGACCACGCCGGAGCTCCAGCCAGCGGGACCCTGCACATGCTGAGCAGGTACGGCTCACGCGCCAGGCTGCACCAGGATCGCGGCGCTCAGACCTTCGCAGGATTGAACCCTGCTTGAGCAGACCCAGGTTCAGCCTGATAACAGCGCCAAGTCCACCCAGAGGAAATTCGTCTCCTGTTTGGTCAAGAAGTGAAGTGGTGCATAAGAAGGTGTTTACAGGGCCTGTGCGAGTCGGCAGCTATTCGATCCGGCTTCAGATCAGGCCGCTTCAGATGCCAGGGATCAGACGGACACGGTAGTCCCGCAAGCACCCGTGTCACGAGTGTTGCCTGTCAGCAGCGAGGGGCGCAGGCCCCAGCACCCCCCTGCACCCATCTCCTCCACAGCTGGCAGGCGTCGTGGCGTCACCAGGGGCCACCACCCCTGCAGCTGTCACCCGGCTGTGGTGTAACACATACACGTGGCGGGAGTTTTGCTTTCACAAATTTGGGGTGCAGTTCCCCCCAAGCCCCTGCACCGATTTTCTTGAAACGTGGTAGGATTCATGCACGCAGCAGAGGCTACCATCCAGGCAAGTTTCATTCAAATCAGACAAAAACCAACAAGAACGTTGTAGATATTTCATTGGTTCCCCGTTATACCCTATGGGCAGATCTCCGAAGCTTTTCCAAACCGCTTTGGGAAGCCTAACGAAGCCAGCGCTTCGATCCAGACATGCTGCCTCGGACGCCGAAACATCCGAAGCACGGTCTGAAGCCTCGCACAGCCCTTGCTATTTAACAGGTGTGACATTTTCGGATGCGGCCTTTCCACACAGCGCTGCGGTAGCAAGCGACAGCCCCCCGGCTCCCGGGACTGTCACGGGGAACCTTGTCACGGGTGTCGACTCGAGCCGGATCGGTGGCCGCAGGTCCTCGGGCACCACCGAGCCACGCAGTGCAGCCCCACGCAAGGAACCGGGCTGGGCTTTTTGCAAACAGGCACTGCGGGGAGGGCGCTTCCCTCCCGGAGAAGGAAAGACGCTTCACGGCCTTTCCCCGCTCAGAGAAGGGACACACGAAACCCAGCCCTGAAGCCACCAAGGGGAAGGGGGGAGTTTCTGCCCGAGCCCTCGGTTGGGAAGGGGGCACGGCAAGCTCAGCCAGCCACGCTGCATTAAACCGAACGCTTGATCCCCGTCTCTTCTCCTTCCCGTATTTATGCCTTAAAATATCAATTAACACAAAGGAGGCATCAGCAAGCGGCGGCGGCTAGTCCTTGCATTTATATATATCCCCACTCCGGCGCAGCACGCAGCGCCGCACGCCGCCTGGTT